TGTTAAGTGGGGTCTTACTGTATATTAAATTGATTTTTAAAACTTTTATATTATATTAATGACAAACACAATTTTCACTATCTGTATGTATTCAATCAAAATGATATCATTGGAAATATAGTCAACCCCCCTATAACACTGTTGACTATTCTGTTTTATATGAATTTCATGTTGTACGAGTCACTTAGATTTTACAAATACGTGTGCTGTGAACAGCTCACGTATTTGTAAAATCTAAGTGACTCGTACAACATGGAATTCATATAAAACAGAATAGTCAACAGTGTTATAGGGGGGTTGACTGTACGTTTTGATTTCTTTTTACATAAAATTTTGTTTTCTAAAAAATAAAACGAGGAAAAATATTTATATATAGTACAGATAGGGTAAATTGATGATTCATAAACTTTCTGTATGATATGATATAAATATTTTCTGAAATAAAAATAAATAATTGCAGTTTAACATATATAGTTTTATAAGATTAATTAGAAATTTCTTAGATTTTGGATTATAAAGTAAGTGAAAAAGCTACATATGATAGCATTTAAAACAGAAATTTTGAAAAATTATTTTAGAATAAACTTTAATAAGAAATTTGTAACTTCTTTTTTTAAGTTTAAAACATTAAAACATTAGTTGTTTAACATAAAAAGTGTCAAAAAAAACTGTTAAATAATTTTTATTTATTACTTTTAACATATTTGAGATCATTGCATGCAGAATAAAAATAAGATTGATGATAATTATTTTATTTAACTTTCCTGTAAGTAGGTTACATATGTATTATGTAAGATTCCTTTTTTTTAATATTTATATATTATTTATATGATGCCAAATAAAATAATTATGCATATAAATTAAACCTTTAATTTAATTAGATAATTAGATAATTTTAATCTTGGCTTAACTTATTACAGAGGAAATTGTTTTTTTAATGATGATAAGTTATTTTTTAATTTTATCATTTTTATTAAGTAATTTGCAGCTACTAATCTGTATTAAAAGTCATTATAAACATTAATGATTTTCAATTATTTTGTAAAAACACATTGATATTAAATAACAATGTGAAGAAAATTTATCTAATTTTATAAAAATTTTGAGAATTTTTAGAAATATTTCTGATTAATTTTATTAGTCATTTCATTTATATGACACATTAATTTAAAAATTCAGAAACACAAAATATGGGTAATTTATTAACATGCTGCTGCGTTGTCTGATCCATTGAAGCATATTTTGTCAGCTTTAATTATGAAATGATGTATTTAATGTGATTAAGATTCAGTGTAAAGTCTATTATCTGTATAATGTTTATATTTTTGAAAATATGAATATTTTAAAAATACAAAAAAATAACTGTATATTTCTAAAGATTATATCAAAGTGAATAGAGATTCATTGGACTAGATTTTCAGTTAATCATAATATATTAGCTTTTTTAAGTGTTTTTTTAGTATCATATCTTACAATTAAGTAGTTTTTCTTATGCATATCTTTTAAAATTTTAGTTATTAAAAAAATATATAACAGACATGTTTATTTATTTAGCTTTTGCAAGAGTTAAATCAAGAAATAGAAGAATTAAGAAGATATAGGCAGGAAATTGAAAATTCTCATTCTCCGGTCTTATTAGAACTACCTTCTCGTTATTATGAAATAGAAAGGGAATTGAGAAGATTAAAAGAGGTAATTTTATCCATTTATAAAAATAAGTATTGCTGGAAATGATATCAAATTATAGTTACATAAATTCATTTTCAGCTTATGTAATTTTTATTATCAATTTCTTTAGAGATAATAAAATACAATAAACCTAAGATAACAGTCTTTACTGATGATAAATCAATTTTCAATCATAAATTTTTTTTAATATAATTTAGAAGTTTTTTAATTTTTATATTTATGTTAATTGTTTTACTGGGATTCGGATTATAAATGTATTCTCTCACTTCTTTCTTAATTCGTAAACCAAGTAATTTTGGTATACATATTCTATTCTAAATTTCGATAGTCTAGAACCCTAGAACCACAGCAACCCAAGTACGCTAGCATTTGACACATTTTTTTATTATTCTTTTTCTAAAATAGATGCATATATTATATACAAATCTTAATTAATTAATGTAATTGTTTTAAAAATTAGGATTAGGAGATAATAACAATGCTCACATCTAATTTTGGTATATAATTTAGCCTAATTAAATTCTAGTCTGAAATTAATTCATTAAAACAGCATTCTTCAGTTTGAAAAGTGATTCCAATTCTTCGATTATTATATTTATTATTTCATTTTCAGATATTATTATTTTATTATTTAAAAGTTATTTATGTTGTGACTTTTGTGAATAAAACAATCATCTCAACAGCTAACATAAGAATTTTCAAGAGAGTTTTGAAAAATTCGTTATGGAGATTTTCATGAAACAATTGTCTATATAAACAGGAGAAATTTTGAGTGTCACAATGACAGTAACAGTATTCTTGTAAGACAAGTAATTGATAATTAATATCATCAATTTATTAAATTGAATAACATACAAATCTGAATTTATAATTATAGAAAGACTTTCCATTGTAAAAGTAGGGCTGAGAGATTTAATAATTATATATCAAGTTATACCTAAAGTTTTCCTTAGTGCATTTTTTAGTCATATTTAAAAATGTTGACTGGAAATCATTAGAAATCAGTTCACTTTTTATATAAAAATAAAAAGATAAAAACTTAAAAGTAAAGCATCTCTTATATCATTATTGTAAATATTGTCATTGGAAACTGAGATTAGACTTATAGTAATAATTATTTATCTTATTCCAGGATATGGCTGTAAGATAAAATATGTTTGAATATTTAATTGCATACTAAAATGTAATTTATGGACTGATATTGGATAGAATAGATCTGTTTGCTTATACATAACTGAAATGTTACATTAGGTTAATAATTTCAAATATATTTAATTTAATGATATTGTATCAAAATAATTTTTAATATCTTATTATTATATACTTATTTTTTTTTATACTCTTTCCGTCCTGTGGGCACTAAGAGGGCCTCTTATACCAGGTCCATTATGAGTTCAGCCAGGCCCACAATGGGGCAACTGGGTGGTGAAGGACGGGGCCCAACATATTTGAACGGACCACCCCCCAAAAAAATCCTGGGGATTCCTTGACCCGTCTGGATTTGATTCCAGGTCCCCCGAGCAGTAGGCTGCCACCTTGACCACTCTGCCATCCTGCTGTCTATTATTATATACTGTAGACAATGGTGTGTTATAACTTCATGGGGCAGAGGAAAATTGAATTAGGGAGAGGTTCCATGTACAGTCTTGACTTCACACATTTTTCTTTGGAGAATTTTGGGGGGAATCCCCTGGTATTCTCATTTGCTTTTTTAATTTTTCCTCTATGCTGCATCAGTGCACCCTGCGCATGAGCCACACTGGCAATCTAGGATTTTCAGATATGGCCAAAATTTAAATTTCAATATTCTTGTTACAGTAATGAATTTATAAAAGATTAGTTTGGAGCCCTGGCAATTGCCCTTTTTTTTTGTTAGGATGATGTGTCACTGACTGTAGGAAAGTTGTTTGTAATGACTGTTATAACCATATTCTTTTTATTATTCTGGGAATCTTGCCTTTGTACTCAAAATTGAGTATTTGTTTGTTTGAAGTAATGTTTATTATTGAAGAATTATATTGTTCAAATTTTTGTTATGTAAAAGTATATATTAAGAACTTTTTATAAGCATTGTTACTGTAAAACATACGTATATATAAAAATAGACTATTGCTATAGTCATAACTTTTACTGTATATAATAAAGCTACATTGGCCTCCTTACTGACACACTCACTGACAAAATATTTAAGTAGAAAAAGACTTCTTAGAGAAAAATGAAATAGTGCATTCAAAAGAGGAGATTGAGTACATTACAAGAAAAATTGAAATCTCAATATTTTAGGTCTTATGAGGCATCAAAGTTTGATCCTTGATGTGTCATAGACCAGTGTTTCTCAACTTTTCTTAACCTTTGCCACTTTTGGCCCATTTTTCTGTGGCCCCCGTATCAGTAACTCATTTTAATGGATGTTGCATTGCAGACGACATTGTTAATGTTAAATCACATAACTTTCAATCTTCAAATTCCAAACAGTTACATATGGTATTACCATATATAATTATTTTTTTAAATACTTAAGTTTATCTCACACAATTTTATGCCAATTTCAGAGATGAACTAAGCTGGTGATAAATTAGAGTTTCAGGGTACATGCAATAGGCCTGTATTTTAATTAATAGTAAAACATCCTTTGAAAAAAAAATGATGATAAATGACATGCTTTGAGTAGAGTGCAAGATTCAATATGTTTTTGTTTACAAGAAACAATTGTATGTATATTGACCAATAACAAATAAAACATTTTAGGTTCAAAATTTCATGATCAAATTTACTTTATTAAAAATTGTGTGTTTAAATAAAATAAAAATTTACTTATTTAAGTTTAATCATTTTCTTATAAATTTAATATTTTATTCTGACTGTAGTCCCTTTAGGGTTTGCTCTGGCCTCCAGTTTAGAAACACTGTCATAGACTATTGTGATTAACTTAAACCTATTTTCTTAATTTCTTTTATGAATTTGCTCTGCATTAGTTTGAGTACTACTTAAAATGAGTTGTAATTAATGTATAACTTATTTTAAATAATACTTAAACTAATGTAAGGCAAATTAATAACGAAAGTTTGCTGTTAAGTAGCATTTTCATATTTTCGTATATTTATTATATTATTATCTATTAGAGTTTAAAAAATATTTGTAATTGTTTAATTTATATATATAGCTAATATTATTCAAAAATTATCATAAATTGCAGTGCAGATATAAATTGTGTCATAAAATGTCATAAAACATCTGGGTTGGACTTTGAAAGGCAGTCAGGGGAGAACACCTAGTATTATATATTATTATCAGTATTATTAGTATACTTATTCTTCTTACTAGTGGAATTATCATTAACTTTGTAAGATCTTAGAATGTATAAATTGCTAAAAATAGATATCTTATATGATAGTAAAGAAATAAACTCTGACTAAAAATATTTATTTATTTATCAACTTGATGCCTATAAAAACATATGGAGGATAAACATCTTAAGTATAACAACCATCATAAAGCCTGATAAGTATACCGAAACATCCAACAATCGCCTAACTGATATGGCTACAACTATAATTTTTAATAATTATTCATTTAGTTAAGAGATGGCACCTAACGTCTACCTCTAGTTGCAAATTACTTTGGAATAGTTATTTAAAATTAGTGGAATTATAGCTCGATTATTTAGGCGATCGTTGGATGTTTCGGTAAACATCTTAAGTCTGATTTTTTTTTGAGTTTGGCTAATTTTAAATCTGATATATTCTAATCTTTCATCAGACAAAGTAGAATAGAGAATATATTAAATTGTATTAGAATGCAATTTAAAATGTGATATGAAAAAAATGCACATCTGTTGCCATTAATATATAATATATAATAAACATTTTACTATAAATACTTTATACAAAATGTGATGTTTCTATACAAGCATAATTAAAACATAGCTGAATTTATAAATAGAAAAATTAAATTTTTAATATGGAACAAATTAAACAAATTAATAAATTTTCTTTAATTAATGATTGCTTTATTGATTAAACATTTGACTATTCAGATTAAATGATTTTAAAATAGATATTAAAATTTGTAATAATAACACTCCAAAAATAAACTCTGAAATTTCTTATTCAGAATCGAAATTACAATAATCTTTTATCTAAAATTTTAAAAATATTTTCATAACTTTAGATTCTGTAGAATTAATGTAATATTAAACACATTGTAATACATTAAAATTGAAGAGACAGTCTGCTGAAAAGGAATTGCCATTCATTCAGTTTCAATGTTCAGGAATACAATTTTTTGATGACCGACCCTTTTTGTACATATTATAATACAGTTTAACACTAAAACATTTTTCAAAAGACTGAGAGAAATGTTGCTATGGGAACAATTCAAAACACTTAAGGTTAATTAAATTAATGATTAATCAATTTACTTACAAATTTTTACTTCTGAAATATGTTAATTTCCTGTAAATGTTTGAAGCTAAAATATTCTGTGCATGTAAAAATAAATGGTCTCATCTGCATTTGTCATCTATAAACAATTTTAAAATTAATCCATTAAATCTTCCTTTTCCTGGAAAATTTGCTTATATTTTTAGATAAAAAAATTTAATATGAATCTTTGACAAATTTTGTATGCATTAAATAGTTGAAAAAATGAATTTTTTAATTTTCTTTAAATGTATAGATTTACTGTATTTTTATTTTGCATATTGATAGATTAATAAAATAAAACAAACAATACATTACACTTAAATGTTTGATATTTTTATTTTTATTTAGATGAAATTTTATTATTACTGGTATAAGTATTTTTATATATTCAATATCTCTTGTAAGAAATGAATTAGTATTAATTTTAAATGAATAATTAATATAATACTTATATTAAAAATTTTTTCTATTACATTACTTTGTCCTATACTGGATGTATTTGTTTCATTTTGATGGTGTTAATAATGAATAACTATTATTCAAAAAGGGATTGTCTGTGGCAATTATGAAAGTAATGTA